GGTGGTGCTGGCAGTGGCGCTTGGTGCCATGGAGGTGCTGGCTCTGTGGGGGGGCCATGGGGCGTGGGGGACGGTGGTTCTGGCTCTGGGTAGACGGTGCCATGGGGCGGGAGGTGTTGGCTTAGGGAGTGGGGGGGGTGCCGGGTGGGGCAGGGATGGTGGAGCCCACAGTATTGCCACTGCCAGGCCTATTTTCCTGCACAAGCCCCCACTCAGCAGCCTCCTGAATGTCAAAGATGGACATGGGTGAAACACTGGTTACAGTCAGAAGCCCTTGCCCCCCCACCCTTCCCTGAGGCCCTGCCCCCGCTCACTCCCTTTCCCCCCTCCCTCCGTCACTCGCTCTCCCCCACCCTCACTCAGTCTCACCAGGCTGGGGCAGTGGGTTGGAGGTTTGGGAGGGGGTGAAGGCTGGGGGTGCGGGCTCTGGGCGGGGGCTGGGTATGAGGAGTTAGGAGTGCGGGAGGGGGTTCTGACCTAGGGTCAGCTGTTGGGGGTGCAGGAAGAGGTGAGGGGATGCCGGCTCCGGCCAGGCGCCACTTACCTCAGGCAGCTCCTGGAAGCAACCGGCATGGCCAGCACCCAGGTGGAGGGGTCAGGGGTCTCTGTGTGCTGCCCACGCCCACAGGTGCCACCCCCCCACAGCTCAGGGTGGAGCAGCGCCCAGAGCCCCAATGGCCACCCCTGAGCCTAAGAGCTGGACATAGCGGCCGCAGGGAGCCTGCCTTAGCCCTGCTGCACTGCCAACTGGACTTTTAGCAGCCTGGTAAGCGGTGTTGACCAGAGCCACCAGGGTCCCATTTTGACCAGGAGCTGTTGCTGGGGGGGCGGGGGCGGGTAAAGGGATGCTGCTGAGGAGCTGGCTCTGAGGGTTCTGGGGAGGAGATGGCAGTGCCCAGGGAATGGTGTTTCCTCTGCCAGGCCTTTTTTCCTGTGCAGGAGCCCAAACTGCACCACCCTCTCCTAGTACTGTCCAAGGCAGAGTGGGGCCAGGATGGCTCAATCCCAGCCCTTGAGCCATAGCAAAGGGCCCAGGCCAGCCTGCTAGTAAGGAGGGAGCAAGGTGGTGCACAGAAGCAGATCAAGTTTGTGGTGCGGGATCACATGTGGTAAGGCCTCCCACAGCTGACTCCAGCCCTAAGGCCCCCACCCACACTGGATTTGTCACATGCTCCTAGGTTGTAGGGGCCCTAGCTCAAGGAGCTGATCCAACAGTTTCAGGAGCAAGGAACTATATCAGGGATTGGCAACCTTTGGCAACACGGCTCGCCAGGATAAGCACTCTGGTGGGCCAGTTTATTTGACTGCTGCGTCCGCTGGTTCGGCCAGCACAGCTCCCACTGGCCGTGGTTTGACTGCTCCAGGCTACTGGGGGCGGCGGCGTGGGCTGAGGGATGTGCGGACCGCTGCTTCCCGCCACCCTCATTGGCCTGGAAAGGCGAACCGCGGCCAGTGGAGGCTGCAATTGGCCAAACCTGCAGACGCGGCAGGTAAACAAACTGGCCCTCCAGGGTGCTTACCCTGGCAAGCCGTGTTGCCAAAGGTTGCCAATCCCTGCACTCTATGGTGTGGCCTTCACCCCTGCTTGAGGCCCCAAGTGACACCACTGGTAATGGGGAACATCTAAAGACCATTGCTGGGGAGCTTGGGAGGAGGGAGTCAAAGCAGTGCAGAAAGCTCATTGTAAGGGAGGGCAGTTGGAGACAGGTGAGGGGAAGTAGGTAGGGTGACCAGGCATCTGGTTTTTGACCAGAACTTCCAGTTGGAAAGGGACCCTAGTGGCTCCAGTCCGCACAGCTGACTGGACCATTAGAAGTCCAGTCAGCAGCACAGTGGGGCTAAGGCAGGCTCCCTGCCTGCCTTTGCTTCGCACAGCTCCTGGAAGCAGCCGTCCAAAGTCCTGAGATAAAAGTGGGCATGCCTGACTCCAGTCCCTTGGGAAATGGTGCCTGGTCCTGTCCTGAGATGCCACCCACTACCCTAGATATATTGATTTGAGCTTTATTTATGGCCCCATGGGAGGAGCCTCACACATGTTCATTCAACTTTGCTGCTATCCCCTGTTTTGTCTTCTTTTGAAGAGTCCTCCAGAAGGCACAGGAGCCCAGTGGCAGATAACCAGTAACATATAGGACCCTTAAACAGAAAACGTCCTTGCTCCCAGATAAGAGCCATTTCCTGCTCTCCTTTCAGTTCCATCACCCAAGCAGTTCTGAGTTTGTGTACTAGTATGGTGGCTCCTGAAGTGTCAATGGAAGAATTCTGGATAGAAAGTTTATGCAAGTCTCTCTCTTTAGCCAGATTTCCCTCTGTTCACCAATAGATGGGGGCAGAAAGCTCCTTCCATTCTGGAGCAGATCTGTGGCCATTCTACTCTGGGTATGCCTACACAGCATTTTAGCTCATGCGGTAGGCTCATGCACAAAGCTCCAGAGGTCCCTGGTTTGATCCCGCCCACCGACAACCAAGGACTGTCGGTATTACAAGTGCCACAGCCAGAAGGGGTGTGGGTTACACAAGGAATCAGTGAGACAAACGGCAGCATTTTGGAGCCAGCAGGCGCAAGCTTCCCAGCCAGCTCAACAGACTTGGGTTAGCAAGGGTTGAATCCACAGCTCAGACTGGAACTCCAGGCTCACACTCTTACTGAACGTAGCCTCTCAGCATCCTGTGAGGTAGGGCAGTGTTTTTTCTCTGTTTTACAGATGGGGAATGGAGGCACAGAGCCCGGGGACCAGATTTTTAAAGGTATTTAGGTGCCCAAAGATGCACATAGGCACCTCATGGGGATTTCCGAAAGCTTCAAAGCAGTTTAGGCACCTAATGGCCATTTAAAGCTTAGCTTGTAAATCCCTTGGTGTCAATCTGTAATTTTAGTCACCTAAATATCTTTGATAATCTGGGCCTAAATGACATACTCAAAGACACATCGAAAGGGAGCAGGGAATGGAACCCCAATCTCCTTAATCCCAGGCTAGCACCCTAACTACTGAACCATTCTTCCTGCCTAAGCACACTTCTACAATGCTGCCCTTGTTCACTTTACGATCCACTATGTGCAGTATAAGAACATGATCTTCAGTCTTTTAACTGAAATCTTCCCAAACCAACATTTGCAATTATTTGCACTGTATTTTTAGAGCACAGCGACATTTTATCTCCATTCACACGATGAGGAAAAAAAACCAATTAGGATTGAAGAAGACAGATAGCAAAGTAATGCACTGAGAATAAACACTTTACTTTTATTAAAAAACCACCACACTGAAGAGGTCAGAAGGGTAGAACAAGTGTTTGTCTGGACTGTAACAGGGTGAAGCACACACATACACATCAAAAGGAATCATTACATTTTTAAGGGAGAGCTTAGGGTGCAATTTAAGCATAGCATGCTGCTGAAACTTGCTAACTTGCACAAAAAGTGATCAGCAAAGATGCTGTAGTGAGGTCTAATCACTAATTTGATTAGTTTTAGGAAAGTAAATGAGAGACATGGAGTATTTGCTATACTGTGGAGTATTGCCATAAATCAATCTAAACTACTATTGACAAAATAAACGCCTGATTCTGCAAGGGGCTGAGTTGAGTAGTACTTGAGGGCGCTCTGCAGGACCAGGCCCTAAATGAACAAAGAACATGCTGGGATGCGGTGCCCTTGTATTTTTCATGTTCATTTACTCACCCACTTGGTTACAAAATTCAGTGATTTGCAGTTGTCTCCCAGGAATACGAGTGTGAATTAGCAGGATTCTTAGCACTGAAAATCTGGCATTTATTAGTGCAGTATTTCAGCTATTATTCTAGGTTTTTCTTTTTTCCTCAGATGGTCCCACCTAAGGCATAAAATCCATACAATGCAATATAAAGAATGAATGGGAAAAAGCTGGGTTCTTTCATGGTTACAGCTTTCACTGAAGACTCCATCATTTCGAGGTTAATGTTTGATAGGGCGAACAGCCTTTGAACTATGTCAAATCTTCCTGTGTCAGTGAGAGGGGCCAGGGCAGGATCTCTCAGTGTCAGAGTGCCATCAGCTGAAGCGACATTAGGCTGTATTTATATAGACAGAAAGAGATGTTAAAGCTATTTTCATAGAGTACAGTTTCTGACATCATACAACTTTGCTCTCTGCAGTAAAACTCAGAGGGCTCAGGTTCTGGAAAAACAAGAAAATATATTGTCTTGCTGCCAAAAGGTACATTTAGGTAGAGTAAAGATTAACCAGTGTGATACACTCAGCCTGAATGGAGCTCACACAGACACATTCTCAGAAGCGTCCACTATTTTTAGATGCCTCCATTTTTGGTGTTCAATTTGAGACAACATGAGCCTGGCTTTCAAAGGAGCTGACACCCTGCCGCTCCTGGTGACCTCCCTGGGAGTTTTGGGTGCTTGGCAAATCTAAAAATCAGGCCCAAGGGATCTCAGACCGGCACTGACAGTTGAGGCGCTCGTTTTGCCCCAGCACTCACTTAAAGTAGGGGCTTGGTGTTAAAGGGAAGTTATGCTTTAACTGCAATCCTTTTCCTCAAAAGCAAAAGAGTGAAGCCTCTTGCTCAGATCCTCACTGTTGGGGGCTACTATTTCCCCCGGTGCCCTACAGAGAATGCCATTGCTCCGATAGGTAGAAAGGATGAGACCCACATCATCTTTTCTGGCTACTATTGACGTAAACCCATGGACCAGCAATCGAGAGGGCGTTGAGACAGTTTCAGCTGGCCAGAGGACTTCCAAAGAAGTTCTGAAGCTCAGGCTTTCTACATACATGGTTGTGTAGTGGGACAGAGTGGTGCAAGGCCAAGAGCACTCCAGCCTAGCCTACAACCTCAGCTACCGATGCTTCCTCTGCAGGCCTCTGATCCCTCCCCAACACCTGCCCACAGTGAAAAAGTTCCCGTCATTCTGCTTCCAAACGGCAAGTTCAGCTCCTCTTCCCACAACTGACTTTCCACTCTGATCCTTGTTCTTCACAAGCCTGCCTATAGCTCCCTACCAAGGTTTTGTCACTGAACCCAGAGCAACTGAGATCTCCCACCCCTCTCCTCACAACCTCTCACCTAAAGTATTGTAACAGGCAGGCTCAGAGCTACTGCACTTAGAATCATAGACTATCAGGATTGGGGTTGGAAGGGACCTCAGGAGGTCATCTAGTCCAACCCCTTGCTCAGAGCAGGACCAATCCCCAGACAGATTTTTGCCCCAGATCCCTAAATGGCCCCCTCAAGGATTGAACTCACAACCCTGGGTTTAGCAGGCCAATGCTCAAGCCACTGAGCTATCCCTCCCCCTTCAAACTTACCACTGCCTCCATATTACTGTTTGCACAATGCAATTCCTACTTCACCTGCCTCTGATGCCCACTGGAGGTTTTTGGTTTATGAAGTGGTCTAATTAGACATTTAGTAAAATAAAATCATCACCTTTGACACTCAAACCAAAGTTCCTATTTTCTCTTGCTTCACATTTGATGTAGTTTTCTACATGCCACAAGGTGTCAGAAGGAAGAAATCCAGTTTTGGTTTAAGCTAGCTGCATTGTTTGTCATTTTAACACACTGGACCAGATGGTGACTACGCTTAATCAATGCCTACCGATTTAATTTGTAGCATATTCTGACCTCTCCTTTATTTAATGACAGATACAATCAGCCAGAGCCTACAAACTCCTCACAGTCACCAGGACGGACCTCTGAACACTAAGGTAGTCCACTCCCTTTTGGATTACTTACCAAACAACACAAGGCAGGAATTATTTGTATATCACAGCAAGCACGCAGCAGAGCCAGTGTGTAGTCAGACAATTCTGTGGAAGGAGATATAAAAAGGAGAAGAGTTAGTTTCAATGATCTCTGAAGCAGGGTGGTTGCTAAAAAGGAGACTGTAGGAATGTATATGAACAAGCTAAGCCTACACACAGAGTTACGAAATTCCATTGCTGGGCAGTGACAAGACCCACTGCTTCTCTTGAGTGCTGTCCTGATTAGCATAAAGTGCTCTGGAGACCAACACAAACCCACCACTGAAGGCAATTATCGTGTGTTTTATTGAGCCCTGTCAGCATGCTCTGTGCTGCATATCCATAAGAGGCAATCTAGCCCCTTCCTTGTGCATGTACAGGCTCTCGAAGCAGCGCAGCCTTCCAAGGGGAGCAGTGGGGGCAAAAAACCTAACTGGCTTCAAGACTGAGCTTGATAAGTTTATAGAAGGGATGGTCTGATGACATTGCCTACAATGGCATGTAGCTGATCTGTGACTGTAGCAGCAAATATCTCCAAGGGCTAGTGATGGGATACTAGATGGGGAGGGCTCTGAGTTACTACAGAAAATTCTTTCCCAGGTATCTGGCTGGTGGGTCTTGCCCACATGCGCAAGGTCTAACTCATTGCCATTGAGGTCGGGAAGGGATTTTCCCCCAGGTCTGATTGGCAGAGACTCTGGGGGGGTTTTCCACCTTCCTCTGCAGCATGGGTCACAGGTCACTTGCAGATCTAAACTAGTGCAAATGGGTTCTCTGTAACTTGAAGTCTTGAGCTCATGATTTGAGGACTTCAGTAACTCAGCCAGAGATTAGGGGTCTAATACAGGAGTGGGTGGGCAAGGTTCTATGGCCTGGACTGTGCAGGGGGTCAGACTAGATGATCATGATGGTCCCTTCTGGCCTTACAACCTTTGAGACTATGTGGGGGGAAATGGATGCTAGGAGCTGCACTGTGTACGTTCTCCATGTGTTGCAAAGTCCTGTTCTGCGTGAACTCCCTGAGCAGCAGCATACCGGGCAGTGCAAGTAGGTTGGCAGAGGGGTGGAGCCAGGAGGGCCATGTAAGCCTTTGGGTGCTAAAGGCAGCTTTCCAGCCTGGGTAGGAGAATTTCTCTCCTTGTCTCCTGCCTATCCTAGTGCCAGACATGGTATTAGGTCTGGGTGCTGGACAGAGGATTTGGGCCTAAAGAAAGACAGGGTCCCTGCCCTAACATTAATATGAGACACAGACTGTACAATCCATATCATTATAATTCCCAATGGAAAACAGCTACAAAGCAGCTTTCTGGTTACTGATACGGCTTCAGGTATACATGCATGTCAGATCTAGATATGTCCAGAGCCAGGTTACATTACTTTTAATAGAGTCTGACAAGTATCATCAGTGGGTCTGTTTTGTTCAATTTCTTTTGAATCTCTGCAACTGGATCACGCTTTCAAAATGTCTCTCTTATCTTCCATAAACTGGTGCCATGTATAGTTGCATGGAAACTGACCTTCCACTGTACAGTGCTACATATTTACCCAATACCACACTTCACTGCCTCTCAACATCTGCCTTAATGGAATGAAGATTTTTATGAGGAAAAAGTTGGATTTGCAGGTGGCTTTTAATTA